CTGCACCTGCGGGCACGAACCCGTTTGACGAAGATGACGATGAAGTGGGGGAGACTGCCGTGGAGCAGGAGATCACAGTCAACAACATCGTTGTGAATAAAGAGGAAATAAAAACGTTGGTGAACCGGAAACGCTCACCTGCAGAATTTTCTGTTTCTACCTTTGCTACGTGGAGCGTCGTTGGTGTCGCGTCTTGTGCATTTTCCTTTTCTTGGTTTCTTCCCACTACTTTTTCTTCTCTTGTTCCTCAGGTGTCATGTTGTGGCTCTGCATGGTCATTGAATGGCATTGCACACAAAGCCTGTGTCTGTTCTTCATCCCTAACAGTTTCATGTCTTGCGGAACGTTAAGTGTATGCGCATGGAGGCGCATGCTTCTGCTGTGGAAACGCATTGTTTCTCTCTTACAGTCAGATCTGGATATTAGATTGAAATTGGTCCTTTTTTTTTGTCCCAGCTGATAATTAAAAGGCTCTTTAAAACAAAATGAGTAAGAGTTTTGTGTATCAACTTTTATTCATTTGTGAATATCAGTTGTACCTAATGGGTGGAGGGATTCAAAAATAGCCTTGAAACCATAAACTGGTCTGACTGTAAATTATTCTTGTTGGTTTTGTTGGTTTCAGCTTTGCCTGCCAAGTTCCTTCTGATGTTTAGGTGGCTCCCTCTCCTGGTCAGAGTTCAAACTCCAATCATGCGTTGACAATTGTGATTTGTCTTGCTTCATCTTGTTGTGCTTCGGTTTTTGTTTTTGTTTTTCTTACATGTCACGTTGATGGTTTTCTTTTCGTCTTTTTTTTTGCTTTGCCCCCTATTATTTCTCTCTCTTCTCCATAGACTTCAAGTTCTTGTTCTCAGTGGCATCTAAGCAATTTTGAAATCATTTATCCTGTGTCAACCAAATGCTTACTTTTTAGTCTTGCAGTTGTTTAGACTGACCCCAAAGGATAGTGTTTTCTGGATTTGGAGATGCATTTTTATGCTTTTGGGTTTCCACTCTACTGTATTTGTTTTATTCCCCCCTTTCTTTTTTTTTTTTTTTTTTTTGCCCTAACCAAACTCTTTCCACCTGCCTTGACGGTTTTTCTTTGACGTGTGAGGCAAAATACCAGGTTTTTACTATGTGGTTGGTCTGTCTGTCCAGTGCAAGCAGTACGGAGAAGACTCCAGACTGGTCGGATGAGGACACAGCTGGTAACCCTTTCTCCACCAATGGTGAGGGTAATCCATTCGAGGAAGAGCCGGCCTCTCCTGTTGTATCGGTGCCTGTCAAAGCTCTCTACGACTATGAGGGACAGGAGCAGGATGAGCTGAGCTTCAAAGCAGGTACATGACTAAAAGGGGTCATGTACATCTCAGTTTGGCCTCAAGCAATCATTTATGAAGGAGATTATAATTTCAGTAATGTACAGCTATGACCACTTCATTAGGGTACATCTTTGAGTTGGACCTCCCTTTGTCTTCAGGGCTGCTTTAATTCTTCATGGCATCGATTCAACAAGGTGCTAGAAATGGCCCTAAAAGATTTGAGTCCATATTGATATAGTTGCTGGAGATGCATACTTCCATGATGCAACTCTGTTTAACCACATCCTAAAGGTGCTTCCCCTTTATTAGATTGCATTCTGGTGACCTTGGTTCTGCTCAAAAAATTTTAGAGCTGCATATTTGACGCTGCTGCTGTAAACTGACTTGATTCTTTTTTCTTTTTTTTTCTTTTTTTTTTTTAACTTTCAAATTAGAATGACTTCTGTATATGTACATGGATTAAGATTGATTAAGATTTCTCTCTCCCCGTTTCCAGGTGATGAATTTACCAAAATAGGTGAAGAAGACGATCAGGGCTGGTGCAAAGGCAGGCTCAAGGATGGACAAACAGGCCTCTATCCTGCTAACTATGTGGAAGACATCCAGTAATGAATCGCCACTGATGGAAACAAATGTGAAGAATGTGTTTTATGAAACTTGACAGGCTCTTATTTTCAGCCCTCTTTTCCTTGTTTGTGATGACTGGATTGGAGTTGGTGGAGGACAGAAGAGAAGGGTTTGTAGAGCTTAGGAGGACCACTTTAGTCACTTCTTACCCGTGGACACTGTTGGAAACTAACTACAAGTTTCCAGAAGATTTCAGGAAGATCCAAGAAGACTTGCTGTTGGTGTAAGATGTTACTTAGAATCCCATTTATGCTGTTACAGAAATAGCTATTCAAGTACATATTAGATAAGACTGAATGAAATGTGTGAATTTAGATCATTTGGAAAAAATCACTGAGATTACGATCTTATAAATAGTCTTGCATGCAAAACACAGCCTTGATATGCAAGCTCGTTTTTAATTCATCAAGGGAATTGAACCTTTTTTTTATAACCAGTACTTGCATTTCTCCTGAAAGAATCCAGTCCATAGATGTTTTTTATTATTTGGCCTGAATTGTGAGCTTCATGAACTTCATTTTAAATTAGTGTTTATATTCTCTCATTTCTTTCAGGGTTTTGATTTTTCCCCATTCAGTTTGTAACTGTTGTGGTTGTTGTTATTTAGTTTTTCAAAGGAATGGTAAAGGTCCTCAGTTCACCTTTATTCATGGGTAGACTTCCTTTAGTCACTGCAGCTGAATGTATTTGTTTTTACTCATGGATTGTTCACTTTTACTGCATCCACTGACCCCACTCCCTTTCTCACATACCTTTCTGATGATTGTAGATATTTTTCATTCAACACTGAAAGTTTCTCACTTGAATCTTCTAAGTTCAGTTCTCGATTCTTGTCACATGCCAGGTTATGGGAGAATATTTTGTTTAATTTAGATTTCATGTTCTAGCAATAAAACCACAATTGAGTATTGTATTGCATACGTGCATATACATTAATAATATTAGAACAAATCAAATATTCTGATTGGATGATGTGCAGGAAATTATTAATTTATGATGCCACAAGTGCTTTTGTTGTTCTGATGCTGAAATGTTGTGATGGAGAATCGGTTTGTACATTAACTGAATGTTTATGGCAAACGTTCATCGACCGTTACTGCTATATCTGTAAATATGATTTATATTTTCCCTGCAGAGGGCCATATGAGTTGCTTTAATCACCAAATGTTTTGTGAAAAATTCCTTTTCTTTGGGACCTATGACATTGCTATCACAGCCTTAATGCACAGTTTGCAAATATGAGCTGCACATTGTTCACAAACAGCATTCATAAGTGCACCAATTAAATAACTATTACTTTTGATGCCTTCAGGCTACAGCAGAAGAGGAAAAAGTTTTGTTTTTGTACATCAGTGAGGAAAGATGTTTGAGTGTTGCTAGCAAAATGCAGCGACAGTTATACTTGCACAGGAAGGTTTGTAATTGTTGTCCCACATCACAATAAATGAATTTACTGGGAAAATATACAGATTTTCTTCTTATATTTTCACTGAATGCCTGAATAACTTCAATGAATCTAAAGACACTCAGACCAGATTTGATCACTATTGTACTTTATTTATTAAAAACGTTTGACTGCATCTAACTTTATTCTGTTGCTGTAATTTATTTATTTTTAATATATAGTTTTTTTTTTTTTTTAGGCACCATATGACTGTAAAATAAGTTTTATGTCGTAGCCTTATGCTATTGTGCAAGACGAGGATTTAAACAATACAACAGAAAGTTGAACAAATCCCAACAAACTGGAATATGCAGTTGGATACTGTGATAAATCTGACTGTATTGTTTTTAAGGTTTGGCATCAAATCCATCCAAGACAAACTAGACTGGATGCAGTTTTCCCACACACTGCAGGTTTCTATTTATAGTCTGGCTCTCTCTCTCTCTCTCTCTCTCTCTCTCTCTCTCTCTCTCTCTCTCTCTCTCTCTCTCTCTCTCTCTCTCTCATAGTCTTGACACTGGCGTATTCCCTGGTGTTGCAGCTGGCATGATAATCATTTAGGTTTCCAACAAACATGCATCCACAAATCGCATCTCTTTTCAGAGACACATTTCATATGACACACATGTTGATATGTTATAAACTTAAAACAATGTCCAATACTTTCTAATGGGAACTGGGTGTTTAAAAGCTGTATAGCCCCGAGTCACTGCATTGCTTTGTTTGGTTTTAAAGAAAACTTAATGTGTGTACAATAAATCAGATAAAAAGTGAAAGGTAACTTGAGCTGCTCCTTTATCAGATTTCACCACAGCAGATAGATCTGCATATTTCATTTGGCACAGGATTTAGCTGGCTACCCTCCCATTTTTTCTAGGTTTAGGACTAATGGGTCCTAAACCTAGGTAATACACTAGCTTGGGACCCCCTGGGTCTGGGTGTCTCTTCTCACACTCGGGGAAACTCAAGTAATCCGAGTTACATGTGACCTTTCACATATAACCTTTTAAGCAATACACCACAGAGCAACTCGATATCAGTCTAAAAAAATGTTATTGTATTCCCTCATAAGAATCAATATAAAACATCTAACACACACACATATATACACACATACCTTGACGTTCCCTGTAGGGGATGCCACAGCTGATAATCTGCCTCCATTTCACCATACTCCTAGAATTCTCTCCTTATCATTAGTAATAATGATCATATTAATAATAAAAAGGTGCCACAAAAGACAGGAAATGACCTGCCACATTCCAAAATAACAATAACTAGATTTGATTTGATTTGAGCTTTGTTTCTTTTTCGGTTCAAACGATCCATTTTTCATGCATTTTTTTTTTTTTACCTTATTGAACTATTTTATCATATTTTAGTATTTTTTTATTTAGTATTATTGTATCTTATTTCAAGACACGTTATTAAAGTTATATTGTTCAAAGTTGTGTTTAATGTTTTGGCTGCGGTCACACAGAAATGCATGAAATTCGAAGATACGTAAGCTATCGCTTATATGATCTAAAACTACATTGCCAAGAAGTCTTTGCGACAATAACACGACCACGGATCATTTCCAACCAATCAGCGTCCGCCCATGGTGTTCTCTTACTGACGTGTCGGGTTCAGTTCAGGGGAAAAACACGGGTCTGCTTTTGATGCTGTTCCTTTAACCGCCAGACACCAACAGGTAGAAAAATGGCAGAACCCAGCAAGCAGGACATTTCTGCTATTTTCAAGCGACTTCGTTCCATCCCTACGAATAAGGTGAGACTTAAATAAATACCAGAAAGACGGGTGTACTCTGGTGCACAAGGAAGTCCGCTGAACTAAATATCTGACACGTCGCACTTTATGGGAAACGCCACAGCTGGCTTCAGTTTGCGACCAATTTAACAACTGTCTGACGAGTGTCATCTTTAGAATAAGTCGGGTTTTTTTTTTTTTTTTAAAAAAACGTGTTTTAAAATGCGCAGAAACAAAATATCACAAAACTTAGAAATTGTAACCTGGCGTGACGTGACGTTAGCAAACGGTGTGACAGCTAGCTAGCTACATTTTGACAGTTTACATCAGCCGTGTTTGTTTAAAGCTCAGTTTCTAAGGCCTTTTCTCGACTCGGGTCATGTAAAAGACAGAACAGACATCTTCAGGGATAAAGACGTGTTTGCGACTCGCTGCTGTAACTATTATCTGCTGATCTCATTGCGAAATTAACGCCACTTCACCAACAGCTGTTTGAGTCAGTAGCACAGTCTCCTGTTTATCCTCACAGCTGTTGCTTCGTGTAGTCGGACACTCTTCACGCTCTTGGCCTCCACCTGTGGACCATTTTACAACTGCGTTAATTTGAAAAGAATCCATGCATAAAATACTACAATACCAATTATAGTCCTGAGACAAAATCTAAATCCAGTTGTTGAAACAGTGGTTACGAATAAACATGTTATAAAACATGTCCTGATAACTTCCTTATAAGCAAATCGCGTGTTAAATATAACAAACAAATTTCCAGCTTAGAAATCCACTTCTTCCAGATCCACATATGTTTTTTTTTAAACATTTTGTTAACATCAGCATATTTTAAAGAACATTATGCTCTGTAAATTGTGTCCAACAACAACGACCTAATTCGCCTTGGAAAGGAAGAGATAAAACAGTAAGATGACATGTCATGTTTTACATGTGCCAACACCATGGGTAGACTAAAGGTCTGTCCTCTGACATATTTTCTGACTAGTTAAGTGCATTGAGTGCATTAGTCTAACCAATACAACACTGTTACTCATATTACCAAAGGTTCAAAGTATCCTTTATTTATATGACTACATTTATCCCTAGATAGCATATTTTTCTGAGAAAACACTAATAATAGCTATGATTTGCAACCCTGTTGACATGCATATAAAACAAGCATGTCAAAATCATGAAATATTATTAAACAACACTGCTGTGGTCCTGAGTATTTGTCACATTTATGTCATAACTGCAAATAAAAGTACTATATTTCAGCCACGTTAACTTGTACAATCCTGTTAGTCTTATTTTAACCAGGTTACCATATAATTTTTACTAAAATGACTGTAAATGCTTTGTTGTTGCTTTTTCATTCATAAGGGCTCAATCTGTTGCTTTTGTAAAAGTTTGTAGTACAGGGTAAAGTTGTTTAAAGTGATTAAACTGAGTATGCAATATGAGTTCATTCACTTAATAGTCAAGAATTTATTAAACACTATTTTAAAAATATCCTTTTTTCTGTTTTTCTGCCATATTGGTTACAAGGTTGCATCAAGCATAGTATGCAACAAATAAAAAGTGCACCTTTGATGCCTGGACTGGCCATATCAATTTATTATTTGTTTTTATTACTTACATCAAATAAAAATATCTTTAAATTATCTATATTTTAAAAAAATAGTCTTCTCCAGTTATAGAATAATCCGTCTCTTTTGTTAATTGTGGAATTATGGTCTTAAAATAGAAGTGAGATGAACATCTTGTATGTTTGTATAATGAGACAATCCTTTATTCTTGCTCTCTGTCCCTCAGGTTTGCTTTGACTGCGCAGCTAAGAACCCCAGCTGGGCCAGCATCACCTATGGGGTTTTTCTCTGTATAGATTGCTCTGGGACTCACAGGTCTCTGGGAGTGCACCTTTCATTTATTAGGTAAGTCAGGAATTATATATTTTCCTTGGAGTTGGAGGTAAATGGACTGGTGCTTATGTCAATGCGTGAATGAGGCTTGTTGTAAGAAAGCTCTCAAATAGAGTAGAAAATGTATAAGTGCTTTTTATCTAATATCACACACTCCAATAGAAGCATCGGGATCTTTGGGATCAAGTTTACTTTAACATGCAGACTAGAGGAGCCAGTTTGCAGACAACCTCCTCTTCTTCATGAGCCACGAGCACCTCTAACAAAATAATAAATCAAGAGTAAACAACAGTTGTGTGTGGAAGGTTGTGTTTGAGCATTAAACACTGAATTTTTTTTTTTTTTTTTTTTAAATTTTCTGAGAAGATTTACAGTGCGTTACTGACACCTGCTATGATGTATGGTTTGGAGATGTTGGGATTAACAAAAAGACAGGGGGCAGAGCTTCCAGATTTTCAGTGGGAGTTACCAGGATATGCAAGACTAGAAAAGAGTACATCAGAGGGATGGCTCAGGCTGAGCGGTTTGGAGACAAAGTTAGAGAGGCAAGGCTGAGATAGTATGAAGATATGCAGCGCTGAACAAAGGATGCTGAAGATGAAGCTGCCCAACGGGAGGAAAAGAGGAAGAAAATAGAGAAGGTGTTGGTGAGCGTTGGTGTGACTTAAGAGGATCCCTGGGATAAGGTGAGATGGAGGCAGATGATTCGCTGTAGCCACCTCTTTGAAGTGAAAGTGGGTGTGAATGATTATTTTTCTGTTTTTGCAAACAAAAGCGCCTTGACTCAGCTGTTGCTGTAATTTTTTTTTTAAATTAAATTGAGTTTAATAAAAAGTTGGGTTTTTTTTTGCAATATTTAGGATGTGAAAATATCAGCTCGTTAAGATAGTATTAAACCCTTTAAAAAAATACAAGACAACAGCAGTCATAGAAATGAAAAGAAGATAAGATATGCACAGTGTTTTGATCAAATTCACTCTACCTTTTATAACCCAAACTGCAAAGATGTAGTGCAGTATGGACTCAACAGCTCAGAAGTATACTCTCAGCCAAAAACAGGCCTTTGTAGGGTAACTAAGCATGACTGGTGTTCTTGTTATTAAGGCATAGGATTGTGTTACCTGTGTAATAAACATAAAATTTTAAAAAGATAAGCAATAAAAAAAAAAAGAAGAAAAAAATAAACTGTCATTTCAAATGACTACATTAAAAGTGTGTAATGTAATAGTAAAGCTATTGTAGGCTGCTTCCTTATTTCGCAAGCATTCACCACAGCAGGTAGCTTCACATGCTTGACTTGGCAGATTTTTATGCCGGATGCCCTTCCTGACCCCACCCCAAAGGGATTTATTTCTCCTCCTGGACTTGAACCAGGGATCTTTCACTTTTTGTGCAAATGTGTAAACTACGAGCAGTAATCCTGGACACGGTACATTAATTGGACATAACAATCTCAAGAGATTTATTGTAATTTTGGATAAAAATAAATGACTTAAGCATCCAAAACAAATAAAACAGAATAAAGACGCTTCAGATACAGTGAAGGATAAGTGGAACAAAGGCAGCTCAAGCAAGGAGATGGGAGTGGATATGGTTCTGTAACCTCAGGTGTATGTTTCTTTGTTCAAACACACATTCTTCAAACCCTGATCCTGTTGTGCCACACAGGTCCACCGAGCTGGATTTTAATTGGTCGTGGTTCCAGCTAAGATGTATGCAAGTTGGAGGCAACGCCAGCGCAGTGAGTAAAATATCAGCACACTATTATCAGGTTAAAACTCCAGCAGTGTGTGACACAAGCGTGATTCTACCTGTTTGCTTTCCTGTTTCTTATTTGACCTCTCGGTGTCAGATTGCATTTTTCAGTCAACATGGCTGCACAGCCAATGCTGCCAATGCCAAGTACAACTGCCGGGCTGCACAGCTGTACAGAGAGAAGATAAAGACTTTGGCCACACAAGCAACCAGACGCCATGGCACTGAGGTAACACTGACAGGCTGGGTTACAGTTTGAAAACACCTCCAGGTTTCTCCTCAAGGGGGGCGGGGAGAAACCAACCTGGCGCTGAGAGATTAAATTTATTAAACACTGGCTTCCTGGGTATTACCCATGTGCTTATCACACTTATAATAAACGCTCATATAATTGAATCATTTTACGGCTCTTGTTCTTCACAGCTGTGGCTGGACAGTCAGGCTCCTCTGTCTCCAACATCCCCAGGCGACAAGCAGGTGGATTTCTTCAGTCTGCATACACAGGTATAAGTGTGTGGTTTCTTCAATTGGGATTTTGTCCACAACTATCCACAGATATGCTGCACAGCCTGACACAGCGATTATTAATTTCACTACGTGTGTCTGTGTCCTGGCCAGGCTGTTCCTGAAAATCTGAACATGGCCAAAATGAGTCTGAGCCCCTCCGCATCAGAGAAGCTTTCAGAGCCAGAAAAAGATGAAGACCGTAATGGTATCTTTGTGTCATTGCTTAATAATCTGATTTATACTGACCCACTGCAGTTTTATATTAAAATAGTTTTGTGGCTTATCACATGTTTATCTTCAGGTAACTCAGAGGAGGGTCCCAATGTGGAGATGCTCAGTGTTTCACCAAAAGCAAACCCAGGTTTGAGTCAATACTGTGCATATTTAGTTAACTCTACCTAAATGCCCATAAAAGTCTGTCTAAATATTGACTTCACTCTCTCTGTTGTTTTCTCAGAGCCCTCTTCTCTTCTTAAGAAGAAGCCAGCAGGTGCCAAGAAAACAGTATGTATAAAGTTTTATATTGGTGTCATAATAAGTACAATAAAACAATTACTTAGGTTAAGGGAGGAGGGTAATATTCAGAGAAAAAACTCAAGTAGTGTCTGAGATAAATTTTAAGACAAATAGAAAGCCAGTCACGTTGTCCTACTTTACAAGCTTGGGTCAACCTGATCGTACTACACACCACAGCCACATAGGGAGGGCCACATTTACACCTGAGTTAGGCAGTGCAGCAGTAGTCACTGCATACACACACATCACATGATTGACCTGAGGGGATACAAGAACAGGTAAATAAGGTGAATCACAACAACAGTAGGCACCATTTACTGCCAATAAAATAAATTATCTTTACACATTTGTTTTAAATAATGAATTGGGGTCCCATTCCACATGTCCCTGCAGTTTGCACTGCCCTGCTGCCACACGGACCCATTTATAAGAGATTATAGTATAGTATTATGAGAGGTTGTTTTTTGTTTTCTGAATTTTCCTCTTTTAAAATATGTTTTTAATCTTGGAGATTCTGAATGTTATCTCAGAATACAAGCTTCTACCCCAGCTCCGTTATCTGTTTTATTTGGTACATCATTGTAATGTGTATGTTTGTGTGCAGCTGGCCTCAAAGAAGGGCGGTCTGGGCGCTCAGAAGGTTAGCAGCCAGAGCTTCTCGGAGCTCGAGAAGAAGGCGCAGGCTGCTGACAAAATCAGAGAGAAAGAAGAGAGCTTTGCTGGTGCCAAGAAGAACGTTACAACTGAGGAGTCCATGTAAGAATACCCATAGCTTTTTATTTCTTTTTCATTCCATCTTTCTTGTTGTAATCAATTAATCGGAAAGAGAATGTAACTTTGTGTCCTCTATGGCAAGATGAAATCCATGGCTCTTTCTTCTCTTTACCTCAGGAGAAAGGGGCTAAATCATGAATATTACTTAAACTTTACACCACATTTGGCTCATCTGTTTCTATCTCTGAGCTTACCTACTTTTTTTCTCTTCAGTGCTCCATCCATGCGGCTGGCCTACAAAGATTTTGAGCAGCAGAGGAAAATCGAAGAGCAGAAGCTGAAAGGACTAGAGGGGAAAAAGAAGGAACAAGCTGAGAGACTGGGCATGGGTCTGGGCATGAGGAGGTAAGACAAATTGGGAGTGAGGGGGGACAAACCTCTAGTAGATTTAAGAATGTTGTTTTTCCATTTTAATGTGTCTCACTGTCATTTTTACTCTTTCTTGGTTCTTCTCTGTAGTGGAGTTTCTCACTCTGTGATGTTAGACATGCACACCATCCAGCAGGACAATCCAATTGGAGCAAAGACCACCAAAGGACGGCGATTTATTGATGAAGATGACGATGAAGGGTCCTTCAGCTCTAGGTCAGATAAAGTTGATGTTGATAATATATAAACAAAATGAACTCTTGATACTGTGTTAA